TAATTAGACATGTTATCTGCCTCGGTAGCAAGCCAAATAGTATTTATTTCAACACACTGAAACAAACGACGGGTGGGTCTCTGTCTTGATCGGGGGTGAAAGAGGGAGAAATGAAGATGACACATATGTAGTTTATGTACGAATTGGAAGTATTTATTTAGCGATCGGCACTAAAACGTCATCTGTACAGAACATCATTGTGTACGGAACATGGTTAGTCCACGTTACCCAAAAAATTCCCATAACGGCAGACTTCATCTTTTTCGACGGGGAAAAAAGTTCCAGGGATTCAGCCATCCCACACACAGCTGACTCTTACTGACTGCTTGTACAAACTGGAGGGGGAGGGTTCGTGTGACTCGTTACACCCTTCGCTGCACACAACTGAGGGAGTCCTGCACTTTCCGTCTTTGATGACACGTAAAAAAAACTGTGCAGGTATAACGGAAAATTTTTGCGGTTTTGAAACCGTGACTTTTCCAAACCACTGTATACCTTGAAACCGGTATCGTCCCATGCCTAATATATAGGTTATTTATTTGTAAAAATGTTATTAATATTTTTTTACTTTTTTTTATGAACAAAAAAAATAAATAAATAAAATAAGAGACTTCTTTTAAAAACAAAATAAAAAAATCTTACCGAGCTCAAACTTTTGAACAAAAGCATCTAATAGCATCTCATATATTGGCTATATAATAAAACAGATAGATTCTGATTGTTCACAAACACACACTTTACTAACAAGTTATTCCTCTTCCTGACTTGTTTTGGGTTAGTTGTGTTATGTATTTTTTGAATAACTCCACTTTCTTTTCTTTTTTTCTTCTGCTCTTACACGTAAAGAAAGTAAAGCAGTCCAGCCCACTGATAGCCATGCAAAACATATCTATCACGATATAAACATCTGTTCTGGCTGGCGCATTTCTACCGTCACAGCCTAAGCCTTTGAAAGTGGTTGCGATAATGATAATTCTACTCGAAAAGACAAGAGGCATTTTCCCAGCTAATCTATTTGTTTCAGTCCTAGCAAATGCTCCTAGTCGACTAATTAATAGCCTCACAGAGCTTTTTCAGCCAAACAAAATATCGCATCTCACATCTACTTAATTTTCCTGCAGCTACAGACAATTTTCTTATTAATAAGCATTGCTTTTGTCAAGACACTAATCCTGTGCAGCTGGCAGGCATAAAACGACGGGCAAGAAACAAGAGTAGGAAATACAGGTTACAGTCTCCTGAGTCAGCCCTTTAATCATAGCCGCAGTCTTATTAAAGCAAGAACACCATGCAGACATCCGTTCCAAAAAAACACGCCGAAACCAAGATGCCACAAACTTCGTCCATTTGTGATTTTTCCTCATCCCTGCTGTCTGGGAGATGTTCCTGCTTGTGATTCTCAGAGCTATCGTTTTATGATGACTGTATATGATGACAATGAAGGGTGTAAGTGATGAATGGACACAGTAGGTACCAAACTAAAGAGTCTGGAGGATACAAGCAGTGTCTCTTTCCCTGATTGGTTGACAGATGGGTCAGGCGGGTTGCCTGGGGAAAGGCAATTTATCTCGCATGACAAAGGGTCAACTTCAAACTCAAAGAGGATGTTTTAACGATGGCAAAGTACAGCCGTCTCATGCTATTAGGCCTTCCTTCTGAAGAAATAAAATAACATTTTAAGGGATGTTGCCATCCTGGTGCAGTTGTTGATCACAGAGCTTCTTCTGGAGATCTTCCTTTTAAAGGGCAATGTGCAGTGAATATAAACAAGTTGCGTGCTTTCAGAAGAAAGGCCATTGAGCCTTCAGGGCCGATGTGGGGGGTCTTCAGTCATGCCATATCTGTAGGAAGCACCCCTTCACGACGCTGTCTTTCAGTGTAGCTCAAGAAACAACGTTTGCAGTTTCGCTGTTGGTGCCCGCTAATGCTATTACTGCATTAATCAATGATTTGATGCGCCGTGCCACAAGTGCATGTGTAAGCCAGATGCAGATGATGAAATTACATTTTCTTTAACCCAGGAATGCTGAAATGAAATATTCTGCAAAAACATCCTACTTAAAACCTTTCTTTTTTTTGATGTTCGTTCAGGTTCAAACAGACCTTATCCAGTTTAATAATTAGGCTGGTTGAGTTTACAAATGTCACACAAACCTAAATCCCATTAAGAAATCGCATTAGTTCCAGGTGAACTTGTGCAAATTCTGTCAAGTTTGTCAAGGACTTCATATGAAGCAGTAGATAAAAAAAGCAGGGCCAATTAATAACAAATGAGCACTCTCTTTGCTTGCCTAAAGGAGTGTTCGAGCTGTGTGGCTTGCCAAAAACTAGCAAAAGGTGAGCATGAAATGGACAGAGGAGGAAATGGACAGAGAAACTACCTGAGAGTTTCTGTCTAATAAAACAAGTTCAAAGAAACACTTTCACAGAAAGATTGACAATTATCTACTAGCATTTATACATCTGTAGTTCTTTAACATTTATCATTAACTTTTGATGGCTGTTCACTTTAAACCTTTGAAATAAGCTGTAGCTGCCAATTTTTAATCTTAAAGCACCTTAAAGAGATAGTTCCCAAAAATTGCATTCTGTCATCATTTACACATCTTTCCAAATTTGTGACTGGAAAGAAGTTTGAAAGTAGATATTTGGAAGAATGTTTTTGTCCATACAATGAAGGTCAGTGGGGTCCAAAACTGGACAAAACATGCTTTTCAAAGACAAGTATTTTCTTTAATATTTTGCAGAATAAAAGCAAGCCAAAAAAATTTGGAATAACATGAGAGTTGGAAAATGATGACAGATGTTTCATTTTTGCATTAACATTCCCTATAAAGTTTGTTCCTGAGTAAACGCAGCATTTACGACAAGACACAACTAGCTTTTTCTTTGTTATGCTCAATGTATGATAATATATAAACATTCAAACCTTTTAAGACCATGAAAGAGGAGTCATCTAAATCCGAATTCAGTTAGAGTTGTTGTCGAGAATAATTTCAGGATAGTTTGTCGTAAGGTTGAGGGGAAGCACAGGGGTCTAACAATCAAGGCAGTGATGCTCCACCAATGCTCTTTCCCAGGCCTAATAAATAAAACAAGAGTACAAAACAAAGCGATTTCTTTCCAGATGATTTGGTTTCACAAGGAAGCTCTGAAACCAAACCAGGGCTCTCCGCACAGGTGCAACACTGTGGATTAACAAACAAGACATTCCTAGAGAGCTCACGGCATGTCTCAGGTTTGTTGATGTTTTGCTAAGCCTTGATCTTTATGCCTGGTTCCTGTCTGTCACTTCTGTAACTGGAAGCGGAGGAGACACACTTGTGCTGGCCCAATTTATTGCCCAACTACATCAGTATCAACCGCAGATGAAGGCTGTCTGGATTACAAATGGAAACGCATGACTGAGTGGCATTGCTGTCAAAACATGCGCAATTGTATTGGACAGTGCCTGACATGACATTATGAGCACATCTAGCCTTCCATCGCTCCTGCCTTATATATATTCAGCGTATGAATCGTCAAAGAGTGAAATCTGAACAAGTTGATCAAATTTGACAAATTCCCATGGCATAACTCATAGTTGAAAATTCAAAACATTTCTAGAAACGAAACTCTCTTTCTGTTCATATTTTCAAAGCTTCTGTCAAATACCATGATAGATTAGAGTCAAGTCACATTACGAACCCTCAGGACTTTAATGACTCCCAAATGATGTTGCCTTTGTTCTTATGGTTTCATGGAAGGAAAATAAGGGTAAGGATCAGACCTCAAAGGAATATTTCAAAGGCATATCTCCTCTCTACTGATGATTGTCAATGTAATAATCTTAGGCACACTATATTGCCATAATAACATTCTGATTCTAAAGCAGCCTATGCATGACTGTTTTGTGTTTCAAATTAGATTCAGCCTAATGAGATTTTAATTAAACAATGAGAGACAGCTGTGATAGCTGATCAAAAAAGAAAGAAAGAGTGAGACATAAATGGATTCATATGACTCAGATAAGCATCCTACAATATTATTTTACCATGTTCATTTGAAACTGCAGAGGACAAACTGGGAGCAAATCTGAAATGAACTTGAACAGGTGCTGATGCCTTGTAAACAAGCAACAGATATTTAGGAAATAATAATCCAAATATAACAAAGGCCCCCCTAAAATAACAATGCAACACTTAATCTCTCAAAAGAAACAGCCAGAAGAAGAAACACCTTTACATAGATTAAAACGGAATAAATCTTTCCATTGCTCGTCTTTCCAGTTCTGCCATACTTTTTCTGATTTACAGTATGTACTGCTAAAAATAATAATAATTAAGCATAATAATTAAAAGGCGACATTAAGGAATATCTACAGTATAAATAAAGATATATATATATATAAAAACACCCAATGTGTCTAACTTGTAACAACTTCTATGATTCCCAAAATCTTTGAAGACTTCTTTGAAACGGTGCTTATATTTCACTTAGATCTACTGTTTCTGTTGCCTGTGTACTTTTCAAGACACATTTTGTTCTGACTATTCTTAAATAGAGGGGCTAGACCCCCAACTCCCCTAATTTGCTCCCCTATTTTACCATGACACGGGGGTAAAAATGCATTTCACATTGTTTTATAAAGTGGGCATCTATTGTCAAGGTTGGCTTCAAGCTTTAGTCGTGCTCCCACCTTGCGGACAGTTGATATGCTTGAATTATAAGTGTATGTTCAAAATCACAAAGCATATGAATTCAAAAAAGCGCGTTAGACACTTCCGTTTGCCCCCCAAGGCTGGAGACAGCAAAAAAACAAGAACTTCAAGCGTTCAAATCGATTGATTTTCAGCGCTGCGCTTTAGTGTATGCGTGCTGAATTACCAATTAAGACTTCTAAAATCCACTGCAGCCCAACATCCAAACATATAGGCTAAAACCCGCTGCAGTCATTCACAACAGCCAAACGTGAATTAGCAAACAAGTATGAAAAAACAAGCGCGCACAAGCGGACTTACCTTCCGAAATGAACATATACAGCAACAGAGTTTCCATCCAAGAGCGTATAACGGACATCGTAGTAGTTTCCACGAATAAATCCCGTTTCTTATGATAAACAACAGCGCTCCTCCAAAATATCTCCCGACCGACGTCTACAGTCCAGCGACGAATTCCCAGCGAGAATCTGTTGGATTGTGATGCTGATGAACTTTATCTAGAGCTATCACGTCCATTATACCAAACCAGTTAAGAGTTAAATAAAAAAAGACCGTGTCAACCAGCGACCGAAAGCGCAATGAAGAGCTTTCGAGAGAGAAAAGTTACAGGTATCCGGCTCAGGTGTCTCGATTCCCACGCCTATCTCTCTCTCAGTAATCCACACGACATGGAATATAGTCGTTTTCGTCCATCCAGAGATTTTAATTCAAACTATACTCCCGTGAAAGCGTGAAACGCCAGCAATGGTATCGCAACAGCACAATACCAATTTCGTCCACGAGCTTGTTAGTTTAATAATCTACAAAAGCATCTCAGATTAGAGGTATCGGACACAAACAGCTGATACACGGCGTGTTTGTTTAATAATAGAGCTGGATGACGATTTAGGATTTCCGCTATAGTAACCTTGACATTTGGTCAAATTGTATTTTATGGATGAGATCCGGTTCTTCGATGTACAGGCTACACGACCTGAAGTTATGCGATGTTAAACTATATATCGTCGCCAACTGATGCACGGAAATAAACGTTTACTTGTCCGCACCGATGAAAAAAAAAAAGTGATTTCTTCTTGAATGAAGTCAGAAAGACGACTTAAAAATCTTCTCAGAAGCAACTGAAGTCCTGGACAAGCTTCCCTGGTATACTGTTAGGCTACATTTACAATTGATATCACTGTATGAAGCGTATCGCACCCATTTTTTAACTCAAGAGGACTAAAACAAACGCTATGTTCTTCGTAAAAATGCAGCGCTCCGGTCTGTAAAAACAAGAGTCAGTGGAGGTTCGGCTTCACTGTAGAGCTTCGTCAGAAAATATTTATTCAAGACCACCCCTCCTTATAGGTCACACAATCTAAAATTGCGTTTCAACAATCGATCTGTGAATAGCGTGAAGTGCACGTTGCGTTCCGCTGGACTTGCAGTGAATCCCTGAACCCTCCAAATCTCTTCTCTTCGGTTCACGGCGGTCACGTGGCACGAGTCTTCGTCATGAACGGGTGCTTCTCACTGAAACATGACAGGGTCAAAGTTCACCCTAAGATCAAAAGTAAAAAAAAAAAACTGAGATGATGATCAACATACAGTTCCGCTGATCATCAAATCCCCACTGCTGTAAGAGGATCGGACGTTTTCTTTTGTGATCCCAATTTTTCTTAGGGGAAAAACACATTTGTTTCAAAGTAACTCTATAAACACTTTGATATAGGCTAATATTTGCATATCTGCTTGCTACAAATAATACAATATTCAACTTAGATTCCGTTATGATGGGTAGTAGCATCAATGGAAAACATCTAGACATTTTACATTTAATCAAATCTTAAACATTTGAATTAAAATGGCTGGGAAAAAAATATAGCAGACATTTTAATTAAATTCAAAACAGCAAATTCAATTTGAGAGAGATATAAAAATACATAAAACATTAATAGCTATCAACATTATAGACAGTGTACGTTTGAGTCACTATCACAATTGTGGAAAAAGTAGGTCTATATAGCCTATTGTTCCAGTTTGTGCAATTTTTGTGGGTTTAGTGGAAGTACATTATTAGGCTACAATCCTTGGCTGGTCAAAGTGTGTGTGTGTGTGTGTGTGTGTGTGTATAAGCATAAACGAAATACATTTAATATTAAAGTTAGTGTAGGCACAAAGTAAACAGAAGAGTGACAGTGAAATTTTCTCCTGCTTTGCAGCTTTATTCGTTTTGTTAGCAGGACTAACAACAAAGATGTTATTAAGACAAATTTCAAAACAATACACCCTAATCAACAACATATTATCCAGAAGTGTGCAATACACAAATGGAAATCTCATAAGTAACTGTATTTCATGAAGCTGATGTTGCTTGAGGTGTCACACGACAGTGACATCTCCTGGCGGGCCGCATTATTAGGGTCGTGTTCCTACATTCTAACGGCTTGTCAGTTTCACATGGCAGGACAGTGCTAAACAAAAACCATTGTCATGATTTTGATACGTTTATACATCCTGTTAGATCTTTCACCTTTTAAATAATATTTTCACTGATTGTAGGGAACACACACCCTGACAGCTGGTCTTATTTGTGTTCATCTGAAATTGTTCATGGCATAATAAATAAGCACACGCTTTAATGGCTAGAGCATTTCACTTCTGCAATCTGCATAAGATTTGTGCTTATGCATAATACAAATAATATAATGCACATCACAATTTCATATGTAAGCTACAGACCATAAAAGAAAAAAATTAGAATGCTATTTGACAGTGCATAATATAGCTTCTGTAATAAAACATTTCTCATTTTCTTCCACTGAGAGTAGCGTGTTAAATGTATGCTCACACATTAACTCCGCGGTTTATGTTACGGAAAACATATTAAGATTCTTCATTTTAACCATTTATTGTTTGGAAGTGCTTTTGGCCCCAGTGTCCCGTAATGATTTGTTTAATGTACCACTGATGGCTTTGATTACAATGTAAGACTGCACACAGAAGGATATTGGTTACTTGGATAATCTTTCTGTATAGCACAGTCCCCTTGTAATACACATTGGAACCTTTGGGTAATGGCCCTAGGACTGGATTTTAGAGTACTTACATTGATTCATATCTCAGATATTAACTTTGTTATACCTTCATTCTTCCTGGCCATTTAGATCTAAGGTTACACCCTAACATGAGCATCCTTTATCTACTGCCACGTTGAAAAGCAAAGGGAAATTATAGACATCGCTTCTGAAACTTGAAATAGTTGTTAGTGTTAGTTGAAGGTAACACGTAGCTGGTCTCTTATGGTTTACAAACACAGTCTAAATAAAGAAGACAGCTCTCTTTGCTTTCAGAGACATTACATTATGGTGTAATATATTAATGAGCCAAGTAAAAAGGTGCCAAGCTGTCAGCATTAGTTCTAGTAGCAACACTGAACACACACACACACACACTATATTTATATAGAGATGGCATGATTTTTGTAGGATCGCCAACTTTTGATGCAGTGGCTGGAATAGCTGAAATCAAAATTATACTCAAGCAAAGAGATACAGAGTCCCTAAGCAAGCGAGAGGTATCTTTAAGAGTTAAAGGGATATTTCACACAAAATGAAAATTCTAACATCATTCGTTCCTGATGTCATTCACTCACACTGATGCCGTTCCAAACCTGTATGACTTACTTAATTCTGCAGAACACAAAAAAAGATATTTTTGTGCAACCAAACCAGTTTTCAAAATCAAAATATCTTTTATGTTCGACAAGAAACATCAGACTACAGTGAAAAAGCAAATGTTGCTTTTATCATTTATTTCTTTTTTTCATTGTCTGTATTCACTAGTTTGTATATCAGTGGTATAGGTTGTGTTGAGCAGTGGTTATAACAAGTGGTCTGTGAAATGGGTGAAGAACAACAGTCTTTACGATAACGACTGCAAACACAATGCATGGCAAGACGTCATCAGCGAAGACGAATACTGGGTGAAAACTGAAAGTCAATAACAGGTGCCATCGAACACTAAGGAGTATTGTGTCCAAACAATCCACAACTACAGCTGCGAAGTAAAAGCAAACCTCAATATTCACCTTGAAGTCTCCGTTTCATCAAAAAAACAATCTTAAAGCCAACTTCTATGAAAGAGCTGCAACTACTAAAAGTTTAATTACAGGCACCAGTGCCAAAATGTTGGTGCACCAGTTGGAATTGGAGCACTAGTATAAACTTCAACACCTGTCCTGGCTAGACAAATCACCTGACTTGAATATCATCAAACCACTGTGGGCAGTTTTGGAGTGAAGAGTGAGAAACAGATTCTCTCCTCCAACATCTATGAAGCAGCTGGCAGATGTTCCACTGTAGACTTTTCAAAAATTATATGAATCCATTCGAAGAAGGTTGGAAGCTGTTTTAAAGGCAAATAGTGGTAAAATACCTTTATATAGAAATACTGCTTGTTTCCCAAGTGTTTGCATTGTTTTGTCCAACTGCTGTATGCATATTTGTACAATAAATACCTAAATAATACTAATAATATGGTGATGGACTGGCCGTCTGTCTAGAGTGTTTTTTCACTGCTTACAGCCCAAGATACTGGGATAATCTCCGGTATCACCCTACATAGGATAAGCGGTTTGAAAAATAAATAGATAATAATGAAAAATGTGTTTTGGATAATTCACAATATGTGTCTTGTGAATTATTCTTCCCTAAACTATTTACAGCAGGGATATCAAACTCAGTTCCTGGAAGGCTAAAGCCCTGAGAGTTTAGCTCCAACTCTAAGGCTACGTCCACACGAAGCCAGAGCTTTCCCTATCCAATCTTTTTTTCCCCCTCGTCTCAAGAAATATCTGTGTCCACACGAAACCACAAGACAACAACAGTTAACAACATGAAAACAACATTTATCCACTCTGGGACCTAGTTTAAAAAAATATCTGTTTCACTCTCCCAAAACGCCAGATCCGTGTGGACGAAACGCCTATACGATGCAAAATGTATGCGTATACAGCTAAACGCGTCTCCGTGTGGACGGGGCCTAATTAAACACACCTGAACCCACTATTCAAGGTCTTCGGGATTGCTTGAAAACTGAAGGTTGGTGGTTGAGCAGGTTGGAACTAAACTCTGCAGGACTGGCTCTATAGGAAGGAGTTTAACTCCCCTTATTTACAGTGAATAACTTGGTTAAGTCTTATGGGCTAAACGTGGTCAGTGGTTTTCATTTGAATTATTGGTAACACGTTATTTTTATGGTCCCTCTTAAACATTCATTAATAAGTAACGCTGCACCTACATGTCAACTAACTCTAATTGGGTATTAGTAGACTGTCTGCTTAACTCTTTATTGTGTTAGCCTCCCAACAGACATTCCACTGACTATAAGTTACTTATGTCAATTCTAACCCTTACCCTAGACTAGTCTACTAATACTCTACCAACACTCTAATGAGAGTTAGTAGATATAGGTGCAACATTACTTATAGTCAACAGAATGTGTTAAAGGGACCATCAAAATAAAGTGAAACCAAATTATTTAACACCCCATGGTATATTAAGCACCAAATGAATAGAGATATGGCCACTATCATTGAGATAATGTATTGAAAAATCTATTGTAGCTATGCAGCTTTCAAAATTTTAACTCAATTTCAATGGTCTATTTACAGTTACAATTATTCATTCATCAGACATTTTTATCCAAAGCGGCTTCTACACATTCTACAACTAAGTGAATGTTTTGCCTATTAATAATAATATTCACACTGCAATACTCTCTAAGCACCAAATGTAAAAAGATGAGCTCTACTTTACTCAACAACGGCCTCCAAATGATCGATTAGTAAATTAGTGGACAGATATAACACACTGATTTTTCTTCAGTATAAGGAACTATGCAAATAAATACCACACTTCTCTGTGTATTTAGAAACATACTTCTATTGGCATAAGTTTGGTCTCCATTGGTTTTCATTATGCTAACAGCATGCGCGATTAGCTTTAATGCTTTAAAACGTCCTCTTTCATAAACAACAATTATATTAATTAAGCCTACTGCTGTTGTGAGCATCAGTTCTGCCTTTCTGGGACTTGACACAAGTGATTCTGAAGAATCCCAGCTGGATCTATTAGTAAGTCGGCCACCCTGCGTTGATGTATGGTGTGAACACACATCCCATGCACCTACTAACCCATCCATCATCATTTCTATCACTCTCTCTTTATTCAGTCACTGCAGGTCATTAGGATTTACCAGGTCACACATTTCAAACACATAATTAACTATATTTTCTATCACATGGATATGATTGTTCATCAAGACTTAATCAAATCAAAATCTTGTAGAAAATGGAAAAGGTAGTGGTAATTTTCTGCTGGGATATTATCTGTTA